CAATTCAGGAAAATCAGTGATGGCCTTTCGCTGTTCGTAAAGGCGGGTCTCACCATATGTAGGGTATTGCAATTCACCATGTTGCCAACGTCACAGCATTGAGGAGTTTGGTACGGGGGGCCAATGGCAGATTAGGGCTGGCTGGCAGCACCAATGGGAAGGCCCGTAATCTGCCAGCTCCCTTTATGGGGGACAACAAGAATTGTTAAACCCAACCAGCAGCGGTGAGGAGACCTGAAAGTGGCAAATGGGCAGAGTGTGTGCTGATGGACCGACCAGCAGCAATGGGAGGGGCCGTACAGGGGAACCATGGTCAGGACTCTGTGGACCTGCGGGCAAAGCAGCAGCATGAGGGAGGCGGTATAGGGGCCCATGGCAGATTACGGGGCCTGGCAGCAGCAGCTTATGGAGGCCCGGTAATCTGCCAGCAACCTATGAGGGCAAAAATTGGAAAACACCACAGTGTGGAGTAGACCTGAAAGTGGCAGCAGCAGAGTTGGCGATGGCCCGCAGAATGGCTGGCCAGATGGGAGGCCGTAATCTTGCCAGCACCTATGACAAAAAATGGAACACACCAGCAGTGTGTGAGGAGACCTGAAAGTGGCACATGGCAGAGTGTGGCGATGGAGACAGCAGCAATGGGAGGCCGTACAGGGACCCATGAGAGACTCGGGACCTGGCAGCAGCATGAGGAGGCGGTATATTAGGGGGCCCCATGGCAGATTAGGGGCTGGCAGCAGCTATGGGAGGCCCGTAATCTGCCAGCACCCTATGACAAAAAATGGAACACACCAGCAGTGTGAGGAGACCTGAAAGTGGCACATGGCATGAGACACTGTGGACAGCAGCCTGGTACAGCAGCATGAGGAGGCATTGATGGAGGCGGTACAGGGGCCCATGGCAGATTAGGGGCCTGGCAGCAGCATATGGGAGGCCGAGGAGGCGGTACAGGGGCCCATGGCAGATTAGGGCCTGGCAGCAGCTATGGGAGGCCCGTAATCTGCCAGCACCCTATGACAAAAAATGGAACACACACCAGCAGTGTGTGAGGAGACCTGAAAGTGGCACATGGCAGAGTGGAGACAGTGGCGATGGAGACAGCAGCAATGGGAGGCCGTACAGGGACCCATGAGGAGACTGTGGACTCTGGACCTGGCAGCAGCATGAGGAGGCGGTACGGGGGCCCATGGCAGATTACGGGCCTGGCAGCAGCTATGGGAGGCCCGTAATCTGCCAGCACCCTAACAAAAAATGGAACACACCAGCAGTGTGAGGAGACCTGAAAGTGGCACATGGCAGAGTGTGGCGATGGAGACAGCAGCAATGGGAGGCCGTACAGGGACCCATGAGAGACTCTGGACCTGGCAGCAGCATGAGGAGGCGGTACAGGGGCCCATGGCAGATTAGGGGCCTGGCAGCAGCAATGGGAGGCCCGTAATCTGCCAGCACCCTATGACAAAAAATGGAACACACCAGCAGTGTGAGGAGACCTGAAAGTGGCACATGGCATGAGACACTGTGGACCTGGGCAGCAGCAGCATGAGGAGGCGGTACAGGGGCCCATGGAGAGACTTGGGGCCTGGCAGCAGCTATGAGGAGGCCCGTAATCTGGCACCCTATGGCAGATTAGGGCACTGGCAGCAGCAATGGGAGCCCTGCCAGCAAGTGGCACATGAAACACACCAGCAGAGACCTGTGGCACATGGAGACAGTGTGGCAATGGGGAGGGCCGTATACAGGGACCCATGAGAGACTCTGGACCTGGCAGCAGCATGAGGAGGCGGTACAGGGGGCCCATGGCAGATTAGGGGCCTGGCAGCAGCTATGGGAGGCCCGTAATCTGCCAGCACCCTATGACAAAAAATGGAAACACACCAGCAGTGTGAGGAGACCTGAAAGTGGCACATGGCAGTTTGGGGCATGATTCATGGGCGGATTTAGTCAGGGAGTTGTGTCAGGAACTGGTGGTTTGAAATCCAGACTAATCCAGGCCTGATTCATTTTCACAAACGTGAGTCTCTCCACACTTTGGGGTGGACAGTCGTGTCCTCCGCGGAGTTACAATACCTCCTGCCGCAAAAACACGCGCTCCGATGCCACGCTACTGGCCGGGCATGACAGCCTTTCAAGGGCAAATTCAGTTAGTTGGGGCCAAAGGTCAAGTTTCGTTGCCCAGTAGTCAAGGGGATTGGTCTACCTCGGTGGCAGGGTGCTGTCCAAGTGGCCTAAGCCTGTTGTTTGAGGTCCTGCTCCAGGTCCACCTGATGCTGCTGCGGCTGGTTAGTAGTTTCCTCACTGCGCTGGTGAAGAAAGCTACTCATCATCGACTGCAGACTGAGGCAGCCAGCCTGCTGGTGGAGCTGCCACTGCTCCTACCACCCCACCCCTCCCCTGCTGCCATGGCAGCGGAACGCGAGCGCACAGGGCCCACAGTGTCTGAGGATGGACGTTGGCGCAGAAAGGCAGAGACCAGCTGACTACATAGGGGTTTTTATAGTACGTTATTTTGGCCTCCCTCTCAGCAGGTGTGAAAAAGGCCACCATTTTTGAACGGTAGCGAGGGTCCAACAAGGTGGACAGCCAAAAGTCATCCCTCTGTCTGATGGTTATTATTCGGCTGTTGCTACGCAAGCAAGCGAGCATGCTATGGGCCATTTGTGCCAAGGAATGCGAGGGACTCCCTGCCTCCATCTCCACAGCATACTGCCACGGTGCGTCTGGGTCCTCTGTCTCCTCCTCCTCCTCCTCTACCAGATGCTCCTGCTCCTCCACTCCTGTCCGCTGAGTGGAAAAACCACCCATTTCACTCAATAATTCCTGAGCACCAATGTCCTCCCTCTACCTCCTCCTCTTCTTCCTGTCCTGCCCCCACAGGGGTCATGTGGCGTTGAGATCTGTGCGCCACGTCTACCGCACCCTGACCAGCCATTGTTAACAGCATTTGTTCCAGGACGTGCAACAGAGGAATGACGTCGTTCATCCCATAGTCCTGCCGACTCACGAATAGCGTGGCCTCCTCAAAGGGGCTGAGCAAGCGCAGGTGTCACGCATGAGCTGCCAATGGCTGACATCGAAGTTACACAGGGAGTACCTTTATCCGCTTGTAACATCAGGAAATCAGTGATGGCCTTTCGCTGTTCGTAAAGGCGGTCTAACATATGTAGGGTTGAATTCCACCTTGTTGCAACGTCACAGGTCGGTACAGGGGCCCATGGCAGATTAGGGGCCTGGCAGCAGCAATGGGAGGCCCGTAATCTGCCAGCACCCTATGACAAAAAATGGAACACACCAGCAGTGTGAGGAGACCTGAAAGTGGCACAGATGGCATGAGACAGCTGTGGAGGCCGTACAGGGACCCAGAGACTCTGGACCTGGCAGCAGCATGAGGAGGCGGTAAAGGGGCCCATGGCAGATTAGGGGCCTGGCAGCAGCTATGGGAGGCCCGTAATCTGCCAGCACCCTATGACAAAAAATGGAACACACCAGCAGTGTGAGGAGACCTGAAAGTGGCACATGGCAGATGGCATGGAGCAGCAATGGGACGTACAGGGACCCATGGACCTGGCAGCAGCATGAGGAGGCGGTACAGGGGCCCATGGCAGATTAGGGGCCTGGCAGCAGCAGCTATGGGAGGCCCGTAATCTGCCAGCACCCTATGACAAAAAATGGAACACACCAGCAGTGTGTGAGGAGACCTGAAAGTGGCACATGGCAGAGTGTGGCGATGGAGACAGCAGCAAGGGGGAGGCCGTACAGGGACCCATGAGAGACTCTGGACCTGGCAGCAGCATGAGGAGGCGGTACAGGGGCCCATGGCAGATTAGGGGCCTGGCAGCAGCTATGGGAGGCCCGTAATCTGCCAGCACCCTATGACAAAAAATGGAACACACCAGCAGTGTGAGGAGACCTGAAAGTGGCACACATGGGCGATGACAGCAGCAATGGGACGTACAGGGTGGACCTGGCAGCAGCATGAGGAGGCGGTACAGGGGCCCATGGCAGATTAGGGGCCTGGCAGCAGCTATGGGAGGCCCGTAATCTGCCAGCACCCTATGACAAAAAATGGAACACACCAGCAGTGTGAGGAGACCTGAAAGTGGCACATGGCATGTGTGGCTGATGGACCTGGCAGCAGCATGAGGAGGCGGTACAGGGGCCCATGGCAGATTAGGGGCCTGGCAGCAGCTGGCAGCAGCTATGGGAGGCCCGTAATCTGCCAGCACCCTATGACAAAAAATGGAACACACACAGCAGCAGTGTGTGAGGAGACCTGAAAGTGGCACATGGCAGAGTGTGGCGATGGAGACAGCAGCAATGGGAGGCCGTACAGGGACCCATGAGAGACTCTGGACCTGGCAGCAGCATGAGGAGGCGGTACAGGGGCCCATGGCAGATTAGGGGCCTGGCAGCAGCTATGGGAGGCCCGTAATCTGCCAGCACCCTATGACAAAAAAATGGAACACACCAGCAGTGTGTGAGGAGACCTGAAAGTGGCACATGGCAGAGTGTGGCGATGGAGACAGCAGCAATGGGAGGCCGTACAGGGACCCATGAGAGACTCTGGACCTGGCAGCAGCATGAGGAGGCGGTACAGGGGCCCATGGCAGATTAGGGGCCTGGCAGCAGCTATGGGAGGCCCGTAATCTGCCAGCACCCCTATGACAAAAAATGGAACACACCAGCAGTGTGAGGAGACCTGAAAGTGGCACATGGCATGGCATGAGACAGACACTGTGGACCATGAGGACTCTGGACCTGGGCGCAGCATGCATGAGGAGGCGGTACAGGGGCCCATGGCAGATTAGGGGCCTGGCAGCAGCTATGGGAGGCCCGTAATCTGCCAGCACCCTATGACAAAAAATTGGAACACACCAGCAGTGTGTGAGGAGACCTGAAAGTGGCACATGGCAGAGTGTGGCGATGGAGACAGCAGCAATGGGGAGGCCGTACAGGGACCCATGAGAGACTCTCTGGACCTGGCAGCAGCATGAGGAGGCGGGTACAGGGGCCCATGGCAGATTAGGGGCCTGGCAGCAGCTATGGGAGGCCCGTAATCTGCCAGCACCCTATGACAAAAAATGGAACACACCAGCAGTGTGTGAGGAGACCTGAAAGTGGCACATGGCAGAGAGTGTGGCGATGGAGACAGCAGCAATGGGAGGCCGTACAGGGACCCATGAGAGACTCGGGGACCTGCAGCAGCATGAGGAGGCGGTATAGGGGCCCATGGCAGATTAGGGGCCTGGCAGCAGCTATGGGGGAGGCCCGTAATCTGCCAGCACCCTATGACAAAAAATGGAACACACCAGCAGTGTGAGGAGACCTGAAAGTGGCACATGGCAGAGTGTGGCGATGGAGACAGCAGCAATGGGAGGCCGTACAGGGACCCATGAGAGACTCTGGACCTGGCAGCAGCATGAGGAGGCGGTACAGGGGCCCATGGCAGATTAGGGGCCTGGCAGCAGCAATGGGAGGCCCGTAATCTGCCAGCACCCTATGACAAAAAAATGGAACACACCAGCAGTGTGAGGAGACCTGACCTGAAAGTGGCACATGGCAGAGTGTGGCGATGGAGACAGCAGCAATGGGAGGCCGTACAGGGACCCATGAGAGACTCTGGACCTGGCAGCAGCATGAGGAGGCGGTACAGGGGCCCATGGCAGATTAGGGGCCTGGCAGCAGCTATGGGAGGCCCGTAATCTGCCAGCACCCTATGACAAAAAATGGAACACACCAGCAGTGTGTGAGGAGACCTGAAAGTGGCACATGGCAGAGTGTGGCGATGGAGACAGCAGCAATGGGAGGCCGTACAGGGACCCATGAGAGACTCTGGACCTGGCAGCAGCATGAGGAGGGCGGTACAGGGGCCCATGGCAGATTAGGGGCCTGGCAGCAGCAATGGGAGGCCCGTAATCTGCCAGCACCCTATGACAAAAAAATGGAACACACCAGCAGTGTGAGGAGACCTGAAAGTGGCACATGGCAGAGTGTGGCGATGGAGACAGCAGCAATGGGAGGCCGTACAGGGACCCATGAGAGACTCTGGACCTGGCAGCAGCATGAGGAGGCGGTACAGGGGCCCATGGCAGATTAGGGGCCTGGCAGCAGCTATGGGAGGCCCGTAATCTGCCAGCACCCTATGACAAAAAATGGAAACACACCAGCAGTGTGAGGAGACCTGAAAGTGGCACATGGCAGAGTGTGGCGATGGAGACAGCAGCAATGGGAGGCCGTACAGGGACCCATGAGAGACTCTGGACCTGGCAGCAGCATGAGGAGGCGGTACAGGGGCCCATGGCAGATTAGGGGCCTGGCAGCAGCTATGGGAGGCCCGTAATCTGCCAGCACCCTATGACAAAAAATGGAACACACCAGCAGTGTGTGAGGAGACCTGAAAGTGGCACATGGCAGCAGAGTGTGGCGATGGAGACAGCAGCAATGGGAGGCCGTACAGGGACCCATGAGAGACTCTGGACCTGGCTGGCAGCAGCATGAGGAGGCGGTATATAGGGGCCCATGGCAGATTAGGGGCCTGGCAGCAGCTATGGGAGGCCCGTAATCTGCCAGCACCCTATGACAAAAAAATGGAACACACCAGCAGTGTGAGGAGACCTGAAAGTGGCACATGGCAGAGTGTGGCGATGGATGGAGACAGCAGCAATGGGAGGCCGTACAGGGACCCATGAGAGACTCTGGACCTGGCAGCAGCATGAGGAGGCGGGTAGGGGCCCATGGCAGATAGGGGGGGCCTGGCAGCAGCTATGGGAGGCCCGTAATCTGCCAGCACCCTATGACAAAAAATGGAACACACCAGCAGTGTGAGGAGACCTGAAAGTGGCACATGGCAGAGTGTGGCGATGGAGACAGCAGCAATGGGAGGCCGTACAGGGACCCATGAGAGACTCTGGACCTGCAGCAGCAGCATGAGGAGGCGGTACAGGGGCCCATGGCAGATTAGGGGCCTGGCAGCAGCTATGGGAGGCCCGTAATCTGCCAGCACCCTATGACAAAAAATGAAACACACCAGCAGTGTGTGAGGAGACCTGAAAGTGGCACATGGCAGAGTGTGGCGATGGAGACAGCAGCAATGGGAGGCCGTACAGGGACCCATGAGAGACTGTGGACCTGGCAGCAGCATGAGGAGGCGGTACAGGGGCCCATGGCAGATTAGGGGCCTGGCAGCAGCAATGGGAGGCCCGTAATCTGCCAGCACCCTATGACAAAAAATGGAACACACCAGCAGTGTGAGGAGACCTGAAAGTGGCACATGTTTGGGGCATGATTCATGGCGGATTTAGTCAGTTGTGTCAGGAATGGTGGTTTGAAATCCAGACTAATCCACGCCTGATTCATTTTCACAAACGTGAGTCTCTCCACACTTTGGGTGGACAGTCGTGTCCTCCGCGGAGTTACAATACCTCCTGCCGCACTAAACACGCGCTCCGATGCCACGCTACTGGCCGGGCATGACAGCCTTTCAAGGGCAAATTCAGCTAGTTGGGGCCAAAGGTCAAGTTTCGTTGCCCAGTAGTCAAGGGGATTGTCTACCTCGGTTGGCAGGGTGCTGTCCAAGTAGGCCCAAGCCTGTTGTTTGAGGTCCTGCTCCAGGTCCACCTGATGCTGCTGCTGCTGCTGCGGCTGGTTAGTAGTTTCCTCACTGCGCTGGTGAAGAAAGCTACTCATCATCGACTGCAGACTGAGGCAGCCCGCTGCTGGTGGAGCTGCCACTGCTCCTACCACCCCACCCCTCCCCTGCTGCCATGGCAGCGGAACGCGAGCGCACAGGGCCCACAGTGTCTGAGGATGGACGTTGGCGCACAAAGGCAGAGACCAACTGACTACATAGGTGGTTTTTATAGTACGTTATTTTGGCCTCCCTCTCAGCAGGTGTGAAAAAGGCCACCATTTTTGAACGGTAGCGAGGGTCCAACAAGGTGGACAGCCAAAAGTCATCCCTCTGTCTGATGGTTATTATTCGGCTGTCGCTACGCAAGCAACCGAGCATGCTATGGGCCATTTGTGCCAAGGAATGCGAGGGACTCCCTGCCTCCATCTCCACAGCATACTGCCACGGTGCGTCTGGGTCCTCTGTCTCCTCCTCCTCCTCCTCTCTACCAGATGCTCCTGCTCCTCCACTCCTGTCCGCTGAGTGGAAAAACCACCCATTTCACTCAATAATTCCTGAGCACAAATGTCCTCCTCTACCTCCTCCTCTTCTTCCTGTCCTGCCCCCACAGGGGTCATGTGGCGTTGAGATCTGTGCGCCACGTCTACCGCACCCTGACCAGCCATTGTTTACAGCAGCATTTGTTCCAGGACGTGCAACAGAGGAATGACGTCGTTCATCCCATAGTCCTGCCGACTCACGAATAGCGTGGCCTCCTCAAAGGGCCTGAGCAAGCGGCAGGTGTCACGCACGCATGAGCTGCCAATGGCTGACATCGAAGTTACACAGGGGAGTACCTTTATCCGCTTGTAACATCAGGAAATCGGTGATGGCCTTTCGCTGTTCGTAAAGGCGGTCTAACATGTGTAGGGTTGAATTCCACCTTGTTGCAACGTCGCAGATCAGGCGATGCTGTGGAATTCCGTTCTGCCGCTGCAGCTCAAGGAGGGTGTGCTTTGCGGTGTAGGAATGGCTGAAATGCATGCAAAGTTTACGTGACATTTTAAGGATGTCTTGCAGTGGGATGGTGGATTTTAGGAACCGCTTGACAACCAGATTGAACACGTGAGCCATGCATGGCGCATGGCACAACCTTCCTTGACGCAGAGCAGACACCATGTTCTTTCCGTTGTCGGTCAACATGGTTCCGATTTTCAGTTTGCGCGGAGACAGCCATCTGTCGATTTCTCTGTTCATTACACTGAGAAGTTCCTCCCCTGTGTGACTACGTTCGCCAAGGCATACCAGGTGCAGCACAGCGTGACACCGTTGCGCCCTGCACATGTGATATGCCGGTCGGGTAATGGGACTTGGCACGGGGGTGGCGGCTGAGGACACGGCGGAAGAAGAGGTGGTAGAGGCGGACATCTTTTGTGGACCAAGGACGTGCAAACGTGGAGGCAAAAGCGGCGTGACCTGTCCAAGTTGCTGGTGCGGCTGTGACGGCACCACGTTCACCCAGTGGGCCGTAAATGACATGTACTGTCCCTGACCGTAGTTACAGCTCCACACGTCGGCGCTGCCGTGCACTTTGGCAGAGACCGACATGCTCAAAGACTGGCCCACCATCTCTTCTACATGTGAATGCAGGGCTGGCACTGCCTTTTTGGCGAAGAAATGACGGCTTGGCACTCTCCACCGCGGCGCGGCACAAGCCATCATTTCTCGGAAAGGTGCTGAGTCCACCACTTGGAAAGGGAGGGACTGCAGCACCAGCAACTTGGACAGGAGGACGTTCAGCTTTTGCACCGTCGGGTGCGTGCTCGCAAACTGTTGTCTCTTGGAAACGGATTCCAAGAAAGACTGCTGACGGAATCCGTGAAGAGGAGTAGCAGGAGAAGGAGCATCTGAACGAGCGGAAGATGCCAACGAGCGACAACTCCCCTCAGCAGAGGTGTTGGAGCCTTGACTGGCTGATAGAGGGCGATTGACGTCGGGTGACGGAGCAAGTAACGGAGCGGGTGATGGAGCGGGGGCTGGGGCAGGCAGAACCGCCGTATCTTTATCACGGTTTCCCAGGCCACCAAATGGCGACGCTGCATATGCTGACGCAACGCTGTAGTCCCCTGTAGTCCCAACATGGGCCCCCTGGCCACGCTTGACTTTCTGGCCACATAGTCGACATACGGCTACGTTTACTTCCTCGGGCGGCTTGACGAAAAATTGCCACACCGCCGAGTAGGAAACTTTGCCCCCGATACTCCTCACTGGCTGACTGCTGCTTCCTCCGTGCACACCGGCACCACTACTGGCCGTGGTGGTAGGCTGCAGTGGAGCTGGTGCTCTACTCCGTGGCCGTTTGCCTCCACTGACACTGCTGCGACCCTGCTGCCTCCTGGGCAACCCACCGACTGTTTTGCTCGCTGCCAAGCTGCCACCCTCTTCTCCTGATGATGCGGAAGCAATAGCCTGATGACGACGAGGCTGCCAAGTGCGATCAGCCTCATCATCATCAATTAGGGTCTCCGCCTCACTACTAGCCCCCTCGGCTGGTGTGGGTCAGGAGACAGACCTGTCTCTAGACCGGCTACCGAGCCACTCTCCTCGCCACTACTTCTTCGCCTGGCTGCTGAAGAGGCGGATGTCTCCCCCCGTTCCTGACCGCCCTCTGTTAGCTCTTCCTCACTGTACAGTGGGGCTGAGCCCACAGCATGCGATACTTCGCTTGGTGAGGGAACACCAAAGGACAGGGGCAGGTCGAGGACACGTGATTTCAGTGGGCTTGCTCCCGGGCCATGCCAACTAACGGTTGTGTCTGACGTACCCACCGACCGTTGGCTGTAGGTGTCAGAGGTGACCTGGGAAGAGGAAGACGACCGAGCCAACCAATCGATGACGGCAGGGTTGTCGGTGGAGACACGACCGCTGGATGACACCGGGAGCACTGGCCTCTGGCTGCGACTAGTGCTGCCTCGACCCCTTCCTCTGCTGCCACGTCTGCTCGCTCCTAAAACATTGCCTCCTCTGCCACTCCTCTGCATGTTGTCTGACATACTCTTTAATTAAACGATTCTGTGTCCCTGAGTAACAATTCTGTAGTAACAATTCTGTGTCCCTCAGTAACAATTCTGTGTCCCTCAGTAACAATTCTGTGTCCCTCAGTAACAATTCTGTGTCCCTCAGTAACAATTCTGTGTCTGTCCCTCAGTAACAATTCTGTGTCTGTCCCTGAGTAACAATTCTGTGTCCCTAAGTAACAACGTTTCTGTGCCCTAAGTAACGTTTCTGTGGCCCTAAGTAACAATTCTGTGGCCCTAAGTAACGTTTCTGTAGCCCTAAGTAACGTTTCTGTGGCCCTAAGTAACGTTTCTGTGTCCCTCAGTAACAATTCTGTGTCCCCTCAGTAACAATTCTGTGTCCCTCAGTAACAATTCTGTGTCTGTCCCTGAGTAACAATTCTGTGTGTCCCTAAGTAACGTTTCTGTGGCCCTAAGTAACTGTGTAACAATTCTGTGTCTGTCCCTAAGTAACAATTCTGTGGCCCTTCTGTTTCTGCCCTAAGTAACGTTTCTGTGGCCCAAGTAACGTTTCTGTGTCCCTCAGTAACAATTCTGTATCCCTCAGTAACAATTCTGTGTCTGTCCCTAAGTAACAATTCTGTGTCCCTAAGTAACAATTCTGTGTCTGTCC